GCAGAGACAAGTGTGTTCCTCTTTTTCCTCTGTGCCTGCTTCGATGGAATAAACAACTTTTATCCAGTGTGAAAGACTGTCAGAAGCGTCACTGGCCAGGATTCGGAGCCTCTTTTGTCAAACACGCGGCTGCGTCACAACCATCACATGGGACTGGATAAATTTTTCATGCCAGAATTAATCAATTTCAGTGGACAGTTTTCCTCACTGGCATGCATCCTGCCTCCCTGGGGCACTTCATCTGTCACAGACAAATGGGATAGGGATTTGTGGAAGTGTTAATGGAGTGGCTTTTCTCTGAACCATCAAATTGTGTGTGCGCATGTTAGGTCAGCAATTTCTGACAGTCTCCTGGGAAGGGTATGGAATTTTCCTCAGGGGAGCACCTTCTCCAGGTATACAAGCAATTGCTTCTTTTGGTGGTGTCATCCCAGCTGGTAACTAAATTTAATCCCAGCTAGTAACTAAGTCCTACACAACTGCTTGCTTATTCCCCCACCACCACCCCTAGTGGTAGGGAAAATCAGAAAAAACAAGTGAAACTCGTGGGTTGAGATAAGAACAGATTAATAATTGAAACAAAGCAAAATGTAATAATAATAGTAATAATAATACTAATAATAATGAGAGAGAGAGAGAGGAATACAGCACGAGGTGAATAAGTGATGCCCAATACAGTTGTTCACCACCTGCTGATCAATGCCTGTTCTATCCCCAAGAAGTGATCGGCACCTCCTGGCCAATTCCCTTTAGTTTATATACTGAGCATGATGCTCTGTAGTATGGGACATCCCTTTGGCCAATTTGGGTCCTGACCATGCTGCCTTCCAGCCCTTTGTGCACCTGCTCACTGGCAGAGCATGGCAAACTGAAAAGTCCTTGACTTAGGGTAAGCACTGTTTAGCATCAACTAAATCATCAGTGCGTTAAGAATATGATTCTCATACTAAATCCAAAACACAGCACTGTACCAGCTCCTAAGAAGAAAATTAACTCTATCTCAGCTGAAACCAGGAGAGATTGTTATTTTGGAACTAGTGATTTAATTGTAGCAGGCATTCTTTTTATCTTACTCAGAGATAGCTCAAGAAATGGCAACATACTGGAAATATACTGTTCGTGAGAAGAATGACATAAAACAGGGTTTAATAAAATATATTATTTACCCTATAAATGCTAAAACATGAAAAATATTTATGTGTGAGAGAGATTATTAACAGTACTCATAATCCAAGCAGTAGAACAGCAAAAGAATGAAAAATAAAGTTTTTAGTTCTCACCTTATGTATATTATATGATATTCCCTCCCAGATTTTATAAACCAAAAACGTATATTAAAAAATAGACCAACTATGCTTCTGACACATGATAAGCATGAAGATGAAATTGCAGTCAAAATAGTTCCAATCAAACTACATGTTTCCTTTATTTATTCTTTTCTGTCTAGAACAGCTAATATTCTAAGTTTTCAGCTTGAAACATGGGTAAAAATGAAACACTCATGGTATCTTTTTCAGATGCTGGAAACCTTATGCTTGGAATGATTTCTGCTCTGGAATGTCTGTAATATATTGAAGCCTTAATACCATGCTAATTGGTACCTTACTAATTAGCTCATGACAAGAATTTTAATTAGATGCACACTAGGTGTTCTCCTTACCTGAAATGGAGGAGCTATTTCCTGGGGAGAAAAGCAAAGGGAAAAAGATAGTGGAAGGGATCCACAGAAGACAAATATAATCTAGTCCCTACTATGAGAAAAGTATACATTAATTACTATTTTTCAAAATTACATCTCTGGTAAATTATTCTGTTTCTTTAAAGTTTGCTTTGTGATTTGCTCTTTTCCCCTGTAGAACAAGTTGTACTTTTTTTCCTGTGACTTGACGTGCTAGGAGCAAAATGAAAAATTTTGGAACATGACTGTAGTCAATTATGCTCTGGGCCAGCCCCAGGGACTGAGCTGAACGCATCCCAGGCTCAAAGTGTGAGTCTCTGTAATATGAGTTAAAGAGCTGGGTCACAGGAAACAAGGCTGGAAAGGGAGATGCTCAGTGCCATGACCAACAGCGTTAGCTGAGCCTGGGCTGTAGCACATTCTGGAGTTAAAAATGCGCGTGAAAAGCTTGGAAGACATGGTTGAGTGAATTCTTGTCAATGGTGACTCGAAAGTAACAATGCTGATGAGCATCATCTCTTATTTTTCTTCTATCAGAAAAAGGTGTGAAGGAGGAATAGAAGGTATCTATCTGGAAATACTGCCACCCTAATGTTCTGATTAGCTTAATGGCATTTACTGTGTTGCGGAAGATTTTAGTTTTGTCATTTGGGATGAAGGCTATTTGAAAATCTGAAAAAATATCTAGTGCCAGAAGAGTCTTAAAAATATAAATACCAAGTTTCTTCCCCCTCCAAGGAAGCCTGAGTTGTGTGTTTATAAATATAAAGTTATTTGTCAGGCCTGGTAATCCTCATAAACCCCAGCAGTGAAAAGGGTGATTCAATTTCAGAAGACAATGGGACATCCTGAAAAATGATGATCAGGTCCAGGGAACATTTTTATAAAGGAAGATAAAAACAGTGAAAGTAAAGGGAAGATGAGGTGCAAAAAAGAGAAAACCAGTTAAAGATTTTTTCACCCCACTGAAAGGACACTTTAGGAATGGGCTCTCTGAAGGAAGTGGAGAAGTTGCTGTACAATTTACATGATTTGAAAAATACATTGTTTACTTAATTTTGAATGGAAAAATTCTTCTGCATGGTGAATAAGGTCACAGGTGAGCCACTTTCCGGTGGATGCTCTGTAGATATCTAAAAGCAATAGCTAAGGAATATTTTTCTCCAGATGGCAGTATGAGGGAAGTGAAAATAAAGTTGCTTTTGATAAAGTTTTCAATTAAGTTTGTGGCAATCGCTGTGAGACAGTGATTGTTTCATGACTGATGGAGAACAGTGGTGAAATGAAAACACCAAATTATTAAATAGAGAAAAATCTGTAAGTTTTAAGTGTAAATTGTATCAAGAAACTGAAAGAAGAGGATGTAATCTTTGTGTCAAAATCAAACTAACCCAATCTGAGTCAAATAATATGAGTCGTATACAGTCTGAAAACAAGCTGCACATTGTTGTATAGAAAATTATGATGGCCTGTGACCAACTCTACAAATAATCAGTGTCTGAAATTGTATTTGCCCTGAAGTATTCATTCAACTGCCCTGCCTGGTAAAAGATACAATCTTTTCAAAGAACTTTATTAACCCAACTTTCTTACAAGATCTGGTCATTTACCATGGCAAACTTGACACCTACTAAGAGTTCCATTGGAAACAGAAAGGAGCAGGGAACTCAAGCTGGGGTTAATGAAATTACATTATTTTTAATTTTTTATGGGCAGAGATTTAAGGCTGATTCATGTAAAAAATGTATTACTTCTTACTGTCTAATTAGGATGCTGGTTGGGTCTGGCATATCTTGATGTTTATTTTGTTTAGCAGGTAGGTGTGAGTCTTCCCTGACACCTCCAAGATAGCAAGACACCAGCTACCTCCAGATCAGAGGCTGTGGGACCACCTCTGTAAAGCACTGTACTGAGAGCTGTTGCCTCTGCAGAAAGGCAGGATGTGTTAGTTCAGACTTAATGCCATGCTACACACGTCCCTATCACTCCTGGACAAATGAGAGCATAAGGGCGAACTTGAATATCCCTGAAAAGAGGCTGCAGCCATACCCTTTGTCCCCTTCCTAGTGGGACTGCTGCTCGCATCACAAAATGTCCACCATAGATAGCACTTTAGCAGAGTCTTTATCAGTACTCTGAGCACTGAATAGGCTATTTGGAAAAAGCAATTATAATGTCCCACCACTTCATTTGAACAGTGCATTTTGAAAGGGAAAAAAACCCGCACACAGCAAAACACCTCTTATGTGATTTCCTTTCTTTCTTTGAGAAATCAAAAGAAGCTGGTTTTCTGTCTTGAGTTCTTTGGTGATGGTACACTTAAGCATCCAGTACTTTTATCCTTCCTGTTGAATACATGTGGGGGTTTGCTATGGGATGTGGTGCAATATTTTTGATTGCAGGCTTCTACAGAGCATCTCCTTTATAATCCAGGTAGTCTGATGTTATTTTACACAGTCGGTTGATATGAGGATGTAGATTAAAATGTGGGTCAGAAGCCCTCACCAGACTTGGCAGGGAGGAAGGGATATTGGTTCGCCAGAGTGATTACCCATAGGAAGTGGTGATGCTGACACTAGTGCTGCTATAGATGTTTATCTTTACTCTGAAGGCTTTAGTCTTTTATGGTTTGAATGCTGGCTGTCAAGAAAGCTGTCTCATTTCTCTATGCTTCATCCAGCAGTAGTGCTCTTCAAAATATTCAGAATATTTTTATATCTGAAAACTGAAGGAAAATATATTCTTTCTTATGAGCATTTTTCTGAAAGTCATTTAATTAGCAGATATTGGTCTTGAATTTGAATGAATATTTGGAGCATGTTTGCTTGAGTAAATGGAGGGTATTTTGTTGTGGAGTACAGATTTAGTTGCTGTTGTTTGGGATTTTTTTTTGTCTCCTCCACCCAGAATTGGCTAGAAAGTAATTTTCTAAACTACAAAATAATATCCAAATCTTTTATGATTTTTTCTCTCTTACATAATTTAAACTGAAGATTCGTTATTTAAGAAAACGTAAAATGAATTTCAGAGCTTGTGTTATGTAAGCCAGTTAGTTACATCAAGCAGAAAAACTGAACACTGCCTTTGGGAGAGAGGGGCGGGGGGTGGAACAAATGCTGGAAAGCAGAGTCTAGGGAATGGAGGACAATTTGGGGACCAGGTTCTTCACAAAGCACGCCCCAGAGAGGCTGGCAGAAGGCATTGGGTACACGTGGACCACCGATCAACCTCAAAGGTTCTTCAGGATCGATTTTGGATGCTTATGTACATATGTTCATTCTGGGAGTAATACTTAATGTTTTCACATGATTTTGTCTTCCAGAATGATTGAAGATTGTGGGAAAAGAGGAAATACCATGGCAGAAAGAAGGCAGCTGTTTGCAGAAATGCGTAAGTACTTCCTAGAAATGTTTTGCTGTGATAGACCAAGCCAGTTGCTATGCAGTGTCAGTAAAATCTATGCAAGCTTTCCACCTCAAATCTCCATTACACAAATGATTTAATATTGTGAGACCAAAACTGCTTGAAAATGGGCTGATTTGGCCAAATAGGAAACAGGGATTTTCTACATCAGATTTTTAGATGGTATTATTTTAGTCAGTAGCTTCTTGAGACAAAGATGCTGCAGTACACAGGTAGCAATGAAGAGGGATAAAGGTCTCCAAAAGTCTACATCTTTTACTGGGGGTATCTGTAGTGGGTTGACCCTTGCCAACCACTAAGGACCCACATGAACAGTTGCTCAATCCCCAGCCAGCCCCCAGCGGGATGGGAAAGAATATAGGGAGAGCAAAAGCAAGCAAACTTGTGAGCTGAGATAAAGACAGTTGATTAAATGACAGGGAAGGAAAAAATCACAAAACTCCAGAAAAAGTGATGCAAAGGTGGTCACTCACCACCTCCCAAAAGCACACTGATCAACAGCTAGTCATCAGGCAGTGTCTACCTTGGAAGACAAAACTCCCCATCCCCATCTTTCCCTACCCCAGTTTTATGGTTGAGCGTGACATTATTTGGTATGGACTGTACTCTTGACCAGGTGGGGCCATCTGTTCTTGCTATGTCCCCTTCCAACTTCTTGCCCATCCCCAGGCAACTCTGGGAGGGGACACAGTAGGGGAAAAAAGAGCCTGGGTGCTGTGCAAGAACTATTCAGCAATAGCTAAAACAGCAGTGTGTTATCAACACTTTTTTAGCCACAGATCTAAAACACAGCACCAGCAGACTGCTATAAAGAAAGTTAACTGCATCCCAGCCAGACACAGTACAGGGACTCATGTATTTCATACCCCACTTCAGCACATTTTTTACTCCATGCTCCCTTCAGAATAGTGTGTGAGGGATGTACTATACCAACAATGCTCCTGCACTTCTCCTGACAGTCATCTCTTGTTTCTCTTATGACCCGTGCACCATTTCTCAAGGAAATTCTATTACATGTGAAGTCTTGAGACTGTCACCCTGTCACTAGATTTACCAGAGTTTTGTCTGTAATTACTAAGCTTCCTATTGTTTGTCCCCTTCAGCGTAGAAACAATGACATGGGACCTCCCTCATCTTTGGTGGGAGACTTCAGATGAGCATTACTGGGACTTGAGTTACTGTGCATGCGGAAAGGCCAGGTCTGTGCTGGTGAATTGGATGTGCTCGGGATGGCCTACTGAGAACTGTCTTGTCCCATTCCACTGTGTCAACTAGCTCTGTTGTGCCCTTTAATTACTTTAAAATCCTACAGAGCTGGCTTTCTGTTGTAACTCAAATGAGTATTCCTTTCTGATCTCTCTGGTGACCAGTGACAGGACCTGAGGGAGTGGAATGAAGCTGTGTCAGGGAAGATCTAGCTTGAATAGTAACAAGAGGTTCTTCAACCAGAGCACTGGGCATTGGAACAGGCTCCCCGGGAAAGTGGTCACAGCACCAAGCCTGACAGAGTTCAAGAAGCATTTGGACAATGCTCTCAGGCATGTGGTGTGATTTTTTGGGTTATCCTGTGCAGGGCCAGGAGTTGGACTCGATGATTCTTGTGCATCCCTTCCAGCTCAGGATATTCTGATTCACTTGTCTCTTGTGTACAACTTCTTGGACCAGTGGAGGAAAGGGATGTTCTTTGGTCAGAATAAAAAATGGATTTGTCCATTATGAGAACAAACAATAGTTTTAATTAAAATTATAGAGGGGATCTGAACTTTTATCAGCTGAAATCAATGGCACAACTACCATTAACTTCAGTTACTTTGAAATGCTTAAGACACTGCTGTAAGGATTTATGGTTTGTTCCCACAGTTTTGAAGGCTGCTTTGATGTTGGGTTGTTTTGCAGGAGTTAAGGAAGTGTTGCAAAAATCAGCAGTGGGAGGCAGAGGAAGGACTATTTTCCCATACTGTACATGAATAGTGATACTCTACTACTTTTTCTTACACATTTTAGTATTTTGACATATTTACTTGAGTCTGGGTTATCTCACATGTGCTTCCCTTTTCTGTTTGCCTGCCTCCATCCCTCCACTGTTCCAGCTAGGTAAAAAGAGGGAAAAATATTAAGTCTTTGTGAAAAACTAAATGTATTTTAGGCAAAGAAATGTCCATATTCATAAAACTCTGAACTTTGCATTTTGAGAGTCCCTTGAATTCCTCTATGTGTAAAGGTTGTGCTTCACTGAAACAGAAGTCCACCCTGGGGTTGCATTCAGGTGCCCTCATCTGTGTGCAAGCCCACACTTTAACATGTTTAACAAAAATTGTGTGCTCCAAATGTCCTACATACTGTGGGCCATGTGAAGTTTCTTAACATTGTGACAGACATAAGCATATGGTAAAAAGTTAAAACTCACAACCTGCCAATATCAGAGGAAGAAAACTCATAATGTAAAGGCCTTTTCCATTTTTTAGGCTCTTGCAGTTATATCTGCAAGACTGTGATTAAACCCCCACTATGCTTTTAGAAAGTGGGTCATGTTCCAGACTACACAAGACAGGGGGGGAAAATAATAAAAAAAGAAAAAAATTCAACTTTTTCTGCCTTTTTAAGTGGGTAATTTGTCCTGAACGAGGAACAGAAGGATTTGACTCTGACTTTCTGACTTTAAATTTGGACCACTGCAATGTTCCTTGTATTTTGAGAGGTTCAGTTCAACTTTTTTGTTTACTTTCATTCAGAAGAGGCACCTTTCTAGTTCTGAATTAAAAACCTTTGTGAATTAGCACCATAATCATTATCATCTTCTGTAGAGTCCAGTGGTTAAGGCTTGAATTGTGTCTTACAACTCAAACTACCCTACTGGGGCATCAATAGTTAATCTTAGTCTTACCTGACATGCTCCAGTATATCCACACTGAGGAAGAGTTCAAGATGTACATCACTGTTGTGCTGCCATCACATATTATCCAGCAAGAAAACAACAGCCAAAGCTTGCAGTGTTTCCCTTTGTTATTTTTTGCAAACTGCAAACAGTGTTACATGACATGATCATATTCAAAGAATACAGAGTGAAGCACTGCCTGCGGGCAGGAGGAAGGAGAGGCCACTGACAATACTGTGGGGAAGTGACAAATTCAGTGTCTCGTTTGCCATGCTCAGTCCCACGTGTCTTTCCGCTTGTTTTTCAGGGCTCTCCATGTAAGTGATGTCACTTCTCTACAGAAGTTATTTAGCAAATAGATCCCTGACTGTGGCAAAATGTGAATCGTGATAGAATTTAATTGTCAGTTCCAGGGATTTATCAGCAGCGTTACTCCCCAAATAGTATCAAAATAATACCACCCATAGTGTGTGCAAATAGTTTAAAAAAAAAAGAAAAAAAAAGAAGCGCTACGTTACTGCCTACAAATTAATTTATTTAGGATTAATATTGCAGCTTCAAAAAGTCAATGAGCCGGAGTCTCACTTTGCTTTGACTCTTTAAATCTTGTTAAAAGGCTGAAGTTTTATAAAGGAGCTTTGGAAACTTTATAGTAGCTTTCACTAAAGTTAAGAGGGAGAAAGTTATATGCATTTTACTCATCTGTCCTATTAAAAAGGAAAGTCTTAGTGTTGCAAGCACCATCTTCCCCTATACCCGTAAAGAAATTTTCCAAAAGCTGTCAGTGAGATACTAATGGAGAAGAGAAAACCCTGTATAACTTTAACAATAAAGCACAAAAATACTTCCCTGACCTGATGGTAAGTAGTTAAGGGTAATTTCTCCCAGGAGCAGATGATGTTAAGACAGCTAACTGGCAAAAGGGAGCAGCTGGGAGCCCTGGGAAGATGCTATGGGAGAATCTGGTCAGGAAAAGAGCAGAATCTGGGGAGAGGGGGAGAGTATCATTCTCATTTTCATCTTGTAGGTCAGAGCACAGTTGAAAAATTTGAGTCCAAAGGATGACAGATTGTTTATGAAGGTGTGGGTGAACAATGCTGTAACAGGCAGAATGGAAGCTTTGGACAAGGCTTATCAGGGAAGCCCTTTTGCTGAGTCACAAGGTGCAGAAAGGACCCCCTCACTTTCTAATCTCCTTCTCAGGGAGGCATCTGGGTACAGCTGGATCCAATGCTAGCCCCAGATTTAGGCAATGGCTTATGTCTAAAGGATTATATAGGTGTAATTGAACCTTTATATAACTTTGTCCTGCAGGATTAAGGATGGCAAAACAAATAAATTTATGGGAATAAAATAAATATTTATTTAAATTGATTACAGGGATAATAATTAGACTAAAATACTTTAATCAAAATTGTTTACCATACAGTATAGATAGTTATAACTATTAATATAGTGCACTGTTAAATAAATAGTTTCAAAGCTAGCTTAATAGTTAGTAAGTAGAGATTGTTACTCAGCCATACCAACAACCGTGGGCAAATCTCTTTCACTTGGCCTCAAGGAGTAATCTTGATGCATCCCCCCCCTGCAGGGATGAATCTTCACACACATCTTGAAAATGAATATGTTAGAAGTTCCTGCCATTAAAAAGTGAGACTGAGCTTTTGTATTACGAAGTGATTGGCTGTCAGTCAAATGTTTCTAGGCTACCTGTGCCAGCTCAGCAACTTAAGATAAGTTATCAGTTCTGATCACTTGTTGCTTCCTTTATCAGGAACTTTGTTTGCCACATCCCCAACAGTGTCAGTTTCTGTCAGGAGACACTGTTTTTCATGTCCTCAGAATGTTTAATTTTGGGACTGTGGAGTCAGGCTGCTCTCAGCATTCTTCAACAACCAAAAGCAGCGTGATCCCCCTTCTCCATCTATCACTGGTAACTTTGCAAATAGGGGAAAGTTCGAGCTGTTTTACCCCCACTTAGGCAGAGCATCCTGCTACAGATGCCGACATGGCCATATGTACAACAATGCAGCTGAGTCGAATTGTGTCAAGAAGAATCTTAAAGAGAGCATTTAGGAAGCTTGTGTAAAAGCAGGAGCATATTCCACTCCACTTCTTTTACATCCTGACTCTACCTTGTTTGGATGTGTCTTTTGGACATTCTGCCAGGTTCTGCCCCCATCCTGATCCCTCTGTGTTGTGGTTGTCTGTGAGGTAGCTACCAACAAGTTTGTACCCATCTCCTGGACAGATGCTTTTGGAAATATTACCAGATATTTAAGTTGCAGCAGGCAGGGCCAAACTATGAGTGATGCAGAGAGCTTGAGTTTTCCCTTGCAGAGAATAAACCTCTACTAAATGGAGGAAGTCCTTGCACCCTTTGCATTATTTTACCCCCTTCTGCAGATTGCCATGAGCCTTTGTGTTATGGCATGGTATTTCTTCTGATTTGGTTTGCTGGCAATACGTTGTTCTGATCTGGCATGTCAGCTAAAGATACTTGTTTTGAGCTTTTTTGTTAAATATTAAAATTAGACTGAGGTTTTCCCTGTTGGAGCTGTTGGAGCCTGGCCAGTGTGTCTTTTAGCCTGCAGCTTGGCCAGATTGTTCTTCAAAGTGACAGACACAGTGGGCTGACTATTTCACTGCCTTCCTTTATAAAAGTCTTTTAACACTGTAGCTCCTGACATTCCCCTTCTCATTCCTCACTCCTCTCTACTCTCTCTGCGAAGGAGAGAGCCTTGAAAATTGTTAAACAGAGTCAGCTCATGTGTCCTCTTTGTTCTCTGGCTTCCCTGCTAGCAAAGATACGCACAGGTCATATTCCACACAAATGTCACCGTTATTCTCTTCCACTAGGGGCTCAGGATCTGGATCGCATTCGTTTGTCCACCTACCGAACAGCATGCAAGCTTAGATTTGTTCAGAAGAAATGCAACTGTAAGTATGCCAGCACTTCTTTGACCTACTGTTGTTATAAGCCTTCCCCTGCACTCCCTAGACTGTCCTTCACATCACTGACAAACAGGGACTGTTTGATACGGCGTTGGAAAGGCTCTAAGCAGAGGGCCTGGGCAGATTTTAAATACTAACCTATTTATATGAGGAACTTGGCCTTAAACATGCCAGTGATTGAGTCATAGAAGGGTGGGTCAGGATGCAGGACACAGCTTTAATTAATAAGTATGTTAAGTACATTCTTCATTTTTCTTGTAAAATTGGGTATTCTTGCCAGATCCTGCAAATTAAATGCTTTTATAGCAGCTCCATGAGAAGAAGTGGTCATTCCAGTCATCGTCTATTTGGGGTGCAGCAAAGTAAGTGCAGTGTCAGTCAGATCCTTTTTTTCCCCACAAGGCCAGCTAGACACTGCTTTTCTGAGAGGGTGAACCTGCTTGTAATCTCTGTGTGTCTGTCATCCTCCTTCTAGTTTTATTGTTGAGAAATTTCTGAGTTGATTAGTGACTTTTTAAACTTTTCTTCTGAGATTCAGTCTTCTTTTACAGCTGCAGTTTCTATTAGCAGTCACGCGTTGTAAACTTTAAAGAGGAAACACATATAAAATCTGTAATGGAGTGTATCCTTTCTTCTCCATTCAAAATAGTATGCAAATACGTAGAAGGGTAGGTTTGGATTTACGTGTTTTACCAGACCTTTCCACACCAAGTTAAAAAAGAAGAAATCCTAGCCAGGGGAACTCTTGTCAGTAGTAGCAGTAGAGAGAGGACTAACACAGAGAAAACAAATGGGTTTTAGTCTTCTGGACTAGGATGGCAACATGGCTATGCTTGTGCTTCAGCACAGTGGTAAATGTGTTAAGAAATGCTCACTGCAGATAGAGATTAACCCCCCTGGAGAGAGTTCCTGGTTTTGGGGTTACATGTGTCTGCGTTACAGAAATGCTTAGCTTATGCCGTCCAAACATGCTGGAGAGGACAAGTTGTGATGGAAAAGATTTTGGAAGTATTTACTGTGTTATTAGCCACAGAGCTGATTGTTTGATCACTTCTGTAGCACACTTCTCATATTTTTCATAGGTGGTTAGCTGAAGTATTAATTGAAGGATTAGAATCACATTGTAAGCTGGCTGCCAGATGCAAAACCCAGGGGGGCTTTAGTACCTGCCCAGCAGCTGACTTCTCCCATTCAGGAGCAAACACGTTGAAAGACACTATTATGTCGCATTCAGTTGTTTTTTTAAAAATAAATATTTATAAATATATATAAATATATATATTTATAATTATATAAACTATATAAATAAATATAAATCTTTTTTAGGAGGATGACAGTTTCACTTTATTTTCATGGTAACATAATACAATAGTCTGAGGTGACAAAAGTATCTAATTAAGTTGACAGTGATAGCGAAGTCTGTATGCAAAGCAAGTGAAAAAACCTAAGGGCTAACAATAGTCTCATTGTTGGGAGTGGCTGGCTGGCTAAAAATACTGGTTGTTAATCTTAACTTTGTGCCTCTTATTTATCAACACTGATCTGCTTTTGTGGAACTGTTGGTTCTCTTCATAAAAAGTCAGTACAGATGCTCTTCAGTTTGCCAGCTTGTGCCAAGTCACTCATGGACAGGACTTGCCTTCTGGTCGCCACTGATAGCCTAGGAGAAGCTATTTGCTGGTCTTGTTTCCAGATTTATACTGTATCAACCTCTTTTGAAGGAAAAAAAAAAAAAAGGACAAACTTATAATCCTAATAATTAAATTCTGTGCAATTAAGAAATAATGCCAATTACTGTGGAAGGGCTGAATTGCATCTTTTCACTGTCAAGTAAAGTTTTCCCCTGATTGTTTTGGGTACACTGCTGCTCTTCCGGATGGCTTTATCTTATCCATGGGAATTCATTCAGCTGACAACTATTCAAGCAATGGCTGTCCAAGAAAGAGCTTTTAAACATAGAACCACTGAACTGAGAATGCCCTTGAAATGGTTAATATTAGACCTCTGGCTCATGTCAGCTACTGTTGTGGGTTTTTTCCCTTACAGAAATCATCATCATGAACCACCCAATAGCAAGTTCATGAGGAAAAAAAAAAAGGGGACATGGAAAAAATAACCTTTCTGCTGCATCTGAGCTGCTTCGTTTACAGTAGAATATAATAAGACAAAGCTCAAAGACGGTTCTGCTCCATTCTTTGAGCTGTGCTCTTCTACTCTACCCTGGCACACTGGCCCAGACTTACTAGGGAAAAATTGCTTGGAAAGAGTGTATTTGAGGGGTTCTTTCAAAGAGCTAATTTGACAAATTGCAGAAAGCTGCTCTTGGCTAAAGGCTGAAGGTGTAAGAGGATGGAAACAGAGAGCTGCTTTGAGTGCCAGAAGTGTTTGTTCCAAGGAAAGCAGAGCAAAGGTTTCATTAGCACCATCTTTTTTACCCGAAGGTGCTCATTAGCATAGACAGTCATGGGATTTCACTTGAGAGGCAGCTACACTTATCACACACAGTGCACTGTTTGTTTCTGCTGTCTTTAGTGCAGACACAGACACAGGTTCAACTCCTGGCCTCCCTTTGTGAATTATTCTCAGTGCAAAAATTCTTTTTGCTGAAACCTTCAGCAGCAGGCTGGGTGCAATAGGTAGAAGTGATTTCATATTCTAAGAGTGTTTCTCCTGAAACTAGTTAAACTATTTGGATAAAAATTATAAAGAATGTGACAGTTTACCACTATTTACCAGAATAACACTAACAAATGTTGCACTTTGAGTACTAACACTGTTGATCAAATTAATTGCTCTGGAATTATTTCATTTTCATAAGATAAAGACTGCTTTGTAGATATTTAGCCAACAGTCTTCAAAATTGCAAATACATGTCTTTCTGATAATTATATAAAACTTTAGGGAAAGTACTCTCTGAAAAGTATTTCTTTTATAAAAGTCTTTCTGAGCATTTTAAAGCAAACAGTTTAAATACAATCATCAAAGTGTGAAAAATCATTACCAGTCACTGCAATTATTTGTCAAACAGGATATAATTTAATCCAGTCAACCTCATTCTTCAGAAAAGCAAGAAATTCTTCTTAAGAACTCAGAAAATAAGTAGATAAATTTGAAAAAGCTATGATGTTATCTTTCAAAGAATAATTACTGCAAATTTAAGCATTCCTATTTGCCTAAATTAACTCTACAAATAAATAACAGTAACATTTACAAATTATTGTTGGCACACCTCTGAATCTCATAAGTGCCCAAATGTGGGATGCAACATGTGACAAAAATCCCCAGAGCAGGAGACCCACAAAATTCTGAATGCAGAAATCATAGTCATGGACAGGTGGACCCTGGAGAAAACACTGCTGGTTATGTCATCTTGAGATCTCTGATTGTAAAGCCAGGAGTGTGTGAGCTGACTGGCAGCTTTACTGGATGATGGTGTTGGATATAGTCTTGGAAATAGTAGCACCCTAACAATTTGAGGTTAAATTTCATTATTTGGGGTAATAAAAGCAGATAGGAAGAAGACCTGATCAAACATGGTCTGTACTGTACAAATTGTACGAAATGGTAATAATTGACTTTATCTTCCAAATTTTCTAAATGTGCTTTAAAGCTGGTCCTAAATAGTGTACACTTCAAGAATCAAGGAGGGAGAGCTAGAGGTGAGCACTGTGAGGTCTGAAACAGTCAGAGAACTTGAAAACCCTATGAACCAATATAGCTCCGACCAAGTCTAATGTTAGGATATTGTCCTTCACTTCACCTCCAGTGCATCAGAGCAGGTTTTGGAGCACCCAGTGTAGATTCTCACCATACCTGCTGACACTCAGCTCCCGTTTCCACCAGGAAAATGCCATCTTGACAAGGTTCATTTGCAGCTGTTTATCCATGACATCCAGACACAGAAGCACTATAGGCTTTCCTAAAACAAGGCACAAAGGACCAGTGACAGCAGTTGGATATATCTCTTGACATTCACCAGCATTCGGGAACCACCAAAAAGTACAATTTGTAGTTATCCCCAGTGATCATTGTGCAGTTGATTTATTTTAATATTGGGTTTTCAGTGAATTTATTAACAAACTGAGATGAAATACCATGTTCATATGTAAATTCTCTCTGGGCTATGGTGACAGCAGGAGTAGGACATAACATTGTATCATAATCAAAACCATTATACCGGTAAACATCTCTCACTAACACAGAACTGCATGGCTGGAAAACTACTGCTGTCCTTGATAGAATCATAGAATAGATTGGGTTGGAAAAGACCTCCAAGATCATCAAGTCCAACCCCTGATCCAACTCTAATTACTATATCATGGCACTAAGGGCCATGTCCAATCTCTTTTTAAAAACTTCCAGGGATGGTGAATCCACCACCTCTCTGGGCAGGCCGTTCCAATGCCTGATCACCCTCTCTGTAAAGAATTTCTTCCTAACATCTAACCTATCCTGAATGTGTTGTGAGATTATTCTGCGACTCTGGCTGCAAAAGCAAATTTTGTTGTTTTCCCTAAATCAGAATAAATCATTGGCAGTTGCAAGTGTGAATCAAAAGCTGTGCTGGTGACAGTAATATGTGCCTTAATTAAGGCAGACAAGAAGGGAGCTTGTTTCCCTGACAGTTTAATCTCAACACCTTGGGGTTTTGGTGTCTTTGTTTCTCCCTTCACTGTTGCTTAGTGTGTGTGATTTTTAAATTTTTTTAATTCTTTCAGCCTATTCAAGTTGTAGTACAGCTATATAGAGAGTGCAGCTGACATGACTATGATGAAAACCTTCTGTGTGTTCAAGGCAGCGTCCTCCACCTCCATCTGATCTTCATCCTACCTCCTCTGGGCTTAAGTAGTCACAGCTGAGGCATGTAGGCACGTCAGTTTAATTTCCATACATGCTTTTGGGTTCCTCCATGATCTGATCTGCCTTTTTACATTTATTTTAAGTTAGAATTAATTTCTCCCCTTCTGAAATATATTAATTTTCTA